CCCTCACGCCCAGGCCAGTCCCCTCACACTCTGGCCAGTCCCCTCACACCCTGGCCGGTCCCCTCACGCCCAGGCTGGTCCCCTCACGCCCAGGCTGGTCCCCTCATGCCTGGGTCAGTCCCCTCATGCCCAGGCTGGTCTCCTCACACCTGGGCTGGTCCCCTCAGCACCTGGACTGATCCCCTCATACCTGATCCCCCCATACTGACCAGTCCCCTCACGCCCTGGCCAGTCCCCTCATGCCCAAGCTGGTCCCCTCAGCACCTGGACTGGTCTCCTCACACCCTGGCCAGTCTCTTCAGGCCCGGGCCGGTCTCCCCTCACACCTGGTGGGCAGGAAGGCTCCGCGCCTCAGGCAGTGCCTGTGCGCAACCCCCTCACAGTGCCCTGTCAGTGTGAATTGAGAACACCTGGAACTCCCGCTTCTGGTGAACTGGGCAGAACTGCTCCTAACAGCAAAGATGGAGGGTCAGATAACATCAGGTCACCTCCAGAAAGGTTCTGGTGTGGGTTTTCTCCCTCAGGACTTCAAGGACTGGATGCGGTGCTTGATGCCGTGGTCTAGTTTTGCTCAAAGGTGGTGGTGTTTGGTCAAAGGTTGGACTTGATGATCTCAGAGGTCTTTTCAAACCTTAACAATTCTGTGCTTCTATGACTTCACTTATTTACAGTGAAATTACCATGAAATCTGCAAAGAACTGTCTGTAGGGCTGCTCTGGTTGTGTCAGAGCAGAGAGGAACCGGTGTGACCCTTCTTCAGCTCCAGCAGAGGATCCAGCTCAAACGGGCACATTCCCGCAACATCCAGGACATGGCTCTCACTTGTGCAATACACACACATCTTGGGGCAGTTAGGGTGTTGCTGTCACTTCTCAAGGGCTGTCACACAGGTTATACAATTTTCTGCAACTTGGTTATATTGTGCCCACTCCTACATTTGTGTAAGGATTCCCTTACTGTACTGTACCCTTGCTGATGCTTGCACTTTACTGCCAAGAAACTCAAGTACAGATCAACCAGATAAGAAATAAAACATGTCACATAAATTCATCTTGAGTTACTTTATTTTTCACAATAATAAAAAATAAATTAGTCATAAACAAAAATAGTTAACATTTTTTCATCAAAGAGAAAAAGTATACAATATGAAAAGGATACTGTACAGTTCTGGTTCAGGTACATTGCCACAGATACATATTCCTGAACGAGTCAGAAAGCAATTTGCCTATACTCTCCCCTTTAATTCACTCAAGGAACTGGCTAATCAGAAAGTTTAGAAAATTGTATTATGGATTTACAGTATGACATATATACAAAAAATATATATGTAATACCTGTGCTATAAAATTCCCTAAAAAGCTGGGTTAGTATAATGAAAAAGCTGGACAAAATTTGAATGGTATATGTAAATAAATACATATTAGGTCCCTTTTAATAAAAAAATCTGCCTATTCTAAATATTTGAAATATTTTGGTGCAGTGGCTTGTTCCATAGACACAGCTCAGAATTACATATTTCCCATAGACATCTTGTATTTACAAATAACAACAAAATAAGTTATAATAAAGTATATCCTTCTGCCCAAAATCAATTATGAGGGTCAAGTAGACAATTTTATACATATAAAAAAAAGTTAGGGTTTCTTTTGTCTCCCGTCCTTCCTGATCTTCTATGTAGATCCTGAGTGACTACTATGGGACTTCACAACTCGTATGTACCCAACCCCTGCCAAGGCCACTGGTCTCAAGAGACCCAAAAGGAGCATAGAAAAACAGGTCAGGGCAAGCAGCAATGACTGTTGCTGGAAGGTCAATGATTTATCACAATTAAGCTTCCCTCCTCTCCAGGGATGGTGGTAGTTATCTGTATCCCATTATATCACATGGGGATATAGAAAATTGGGAGCTCTCATTCTTAAGAACTTCTGGCTGTTTAAAGCTGAGAAGCAAAGAGCTGAGTTCAGGTCTGCTGTGAGTTCTCTTACATGGAATTTTCTCCCTTTCACCAGGTCTGAATTTTGCCCACACTACTGAGATATTATAATGATCAGAAGTTTAATTTAAAATATATTGAAAATGCTTAGTGGATGATTTTTCATTTCTGGTGTGGAAATAATTATTTTACTCCATTTTCTAAGCAATGCCTAGTTTATCTCCCACAAACATTCTGTAAGTTTAGACATAAAGGAAGTTTACATTCATGTTCAAAATGTCATGTTTTGTGTTCAAATCACAGGTGTGCACATAAATTATCTGCCCAACACACAGAACAGCTCTGAAGAAGTCAAAAACACTGGCTAAGTGTCAAGAAGACCAAGTAAACACACAGCTTTTCCTTTGTGAAGAGGATAATCCTTTTTTTATGTGATAAATGTTACTCACGAGAATAAGTGGCCACTACATACTTCAAAAGCTGTGCAGTCACAGGTTCATTGCATGGGGGTTAATTCAGTATGTACTTTACTACTATGCATTAAAAACTAGCCAACGTGGATACACACAGACACAAAAATCCCTGGGCTGGCAGGAATATAGCTCTCTTAACAGCTGGGCTAATTTCTAAAACTGATTCTTACAAACCAAAAGGCCAGCTCAGGATTTTCAGTAATTCTGGCAAAATTTAATATTGTAACCCAGAGGACAAAGGGATGAAAGTGAGATAAGAGGAAGAGGAGAAAAGCTGGTGGTCTGGGTGTAAAACAGAGACAGGTCAGGATGAGAATGAGGAAAAGCAAAGCTCTTTAAAGCATATTTTACTACTTACAGTGGTATAGATTATAAAGAGAGAAAACAAAGTGTTTCCTTCAGGAAGACATAACCCCCCCTATACCAGCCATAAGCTGTTTGAGCCCCTACCTTCTTCCTCCCTCAGTGGTGACTGGCACTCTCTAGGACTCAGACACAAGCAAAGGAAGTAGCAAGGTCCTCAAAAAGCTGCTGCCCCATGTGGTCTTCTGTTCAAGTAGCTTAATGTACTCCTTTGAGTCTGGGCTATAATGACATATATATATATATATGACTGATATATAACTGCACCATATTGTCATAAAACTGGGATCTAACCAATAACATTAATGTTAAACACTGCTTAATTCATACAGAAAGTTCTCCTTTTGCTGAAATACTGGGGAAAAAAAAGGAAAAAGATTATGAGTGTAATGAAAAAAAAGCCAGTTCCCTGTGCAGGGATGCTGAAGCAGCCCTGCATCCATGGCCATACAATACAGCTGGACTTCAAGGCTGGCAGGCCTGCAGGATCCCCCATGTCTCCTGCACTGCACTCCCCAGCTCTTCACTGCCTCCCAACAAGCCCTTCCCTGATTCAGAGCCCTGGGGACTGAAGGTCAGAGTCATCAAAGCAAACACTAACTCTGTCTCATTGCTGGCCATTCCCACAGGAGCAACCCTCATGCTTCCACACCATCTTCTGGGAGAGGAAGGGAGAACTCCCTGAATTCAGTGCTCTCAAACTTCGTATGCAACTGCAGTACACGAGGAATTCTACCTACCTATGCTTGAAGGTGACATTGCACAGGAGCTGGCAAACCCTGATGGGCCCTGGAGAACCTGACAAACAAGTGCACCAGGAGTCCTCAGTTCCAAAGGGAAAGTGCTTGGAGACACACAGCCTGCTCTGGATGGGGCTGATTTTGGCCAGCTGCATATCTGTAAGTCATGAAAGCTCTATGCAGCTGGATTGCTTAGACTCTTTAAATAAGCCATCTAACTCACTCTGCTCTTCCTTCATTGTGTAAGGTGAAAAGCTGCAAGGCAAGGAAGCATATTTTTTTACACCATTATGCAAGATTTTGACTGATGTTAAAATGCCAGAAAAAGAAACTGAAGCATTTAAAATCAGAAGTCTGCATTATTTCTTACTTCTACTGGGTTTATATCTGCTCTAAGTCTACTACATTCATTAAAGCCACCTTTGACTTAGAGCAAAAGTAAAATCAGGTCCTTCTGCAGGCATCACCCTAAGTGCCTAATGGCACTGCTCCATTAAAATAAACACTTGCTACAGGCACAATTCCAAAGTGTACTTTGCAAGATGGAGAAATCTTAGCCCAGCACTTACTCTGTGCAGACAATATTAGTACATCAAAGTGCTGATAAAAACAACTTATTAGTTATTTTGCAGGAACAACTATTTTGATAATGCTGACACACGAGATGATAAATTATTAAGTTCAGCAGCATTCTGGCAGTTTTCTTACCATTAGATGTTTAATTAGGTGAAATGGTATTTTTTGTTGTATCTGGTACATCTGAAAACTGTCTCTTTACTTAAAAAACCAAAAAATGTACAATTTGTATAATCATAGCTCACTGCATTTAATTCACAAAGCCGTACATATTAGGTGTGTTACAGGGTTACACTGCTATGTGCAAGTATATATTCTTTGATATTTAGCTGCCAAGAACTCTGTTTACTTTAGTGGCAGCTTAATAGAGCCTACAAGATGATCATCTTTGTCAAATAACCTCATGGCCAGATACTCCAGCGCAAAATAACATCTCTTATAAAATAGGAGGATCTCATGTCTGTGTGCTGAGTCACACACAGCCAGAAGCGTGTGTAAGATCATTTTCCATGGACTGACTGCAAACCTGATTAGCTCTCTGCATCTCCTCTGCCTTGGGGTTTCCAGGAAGCCTTTTTATGGAACAGGTATTTCCCTCAAGCTGACAGGATACACTTCCTTGGGACAAAAGAGATAACAACAAAAATTATACAATGTATGTCAAAATTTGCTGCAATGAGATACACAGATGAAAATCTGTATTTAGAAATACTGGATTCCAGAGTTGTTTACACTGCACTGTCTCCATAACATTCTTTGGTCAAGAATCTAAGGAATATAATATCATCACAAATCTATAAGTTATCTTCATGGGTAAATCTTCATAATACAAGGGAATAGGACTGTAAAAGATTCATGATCTTGGAACTTTTCTAATTAGCATTTCTGTTTCTAACAATTTTATATAAATTATTTACAGTAAAAAAGCCTAAGCTAAGGTGTACAGAAACAGCCAAAGACATGATTGGTTTATAGTCACAAAGACTAACTTCAAATTCTAGGGGAAACACATTCTCCTTTAATTTCCTTTAGCCAAACGGTGGTAGTTCATCATGTCTAAAATATATTTTTCACGAGTGACCGAATAAAAAAATTCAAAGGTTTGTCTCAATTCAAGGCAGCTTTTAGACTACAGGAATTCCACCTTCCTGTGGCTTCCAGCACAAACCCTGACGTGACCAGTACCACACCCAGCAACCTTTGCCTCCCAGAGCTCCATTCCCTTTCCACATCCTCTCCACCGAAGCAGTAAGAAGAAAAGAACACACTGTGAGGCTCAAACATGGTTCTGCATCAGTAGCAGGACACCTTAACCACTGCTGTATCATATCTCTGGGAGTGACTGAACATGATTGTCACAGCTGTTTTTCAACTCAGACATCAGGTACCTTAGAAAGAGACGCATAGTTAAGCAGCACTAATTTACAAAAAATATGCTGTAATAAACAGCTGAATAAGCAGTGGGGTTCATTTTTTTCCTTCAGCCTTATTTACACATTTGAAAGACCTCTCAAGCAAAGGCTAGAGAACATGCAGATAATGCAAAAACTGATCTGCCTTGCACAGCACACCCTATTTGCTTTTAGCAAGTCCCAAGGCCGAGTACAGTAACTGCAGAAATGAAAAATCACCACTTAAATTCAGCTCTAAATTTGCAGCCATTCTTGAGTAACAGAAGAGGAGTGGTATAAACAGATCTGTGTGATGAAACATTAAGTGAAAAAAGGCAAGTATGTTGTAACAACTGATCAAAACCTGAAGAATGTCAATAGCCAGGATCTCCTGACAGATACTCAGGTACTACACTCACACTGCAGCCTGACACCACGAGTAACACACGACTACAAAGCACACAGACCTGCATCCTTTGGTGGTGGT